ACATGAGCTGAGCTCAAGCAGTGACCCTGAGCTCTTGCGGTCGCATACACAGAGCTCGCGGGGGCATTAGGGGTTGTGAACCCATACGTCGCAGGGCGACAATTCAAAAGACGTCGACGGCGTGCCTTGAATTTTGCAAACTCAAATCGGAGGTGTCGCTCTACACGCACGTCCACTTCCTTGTGGCTCAACTGTAGATTATACAGTGAGAAAAGTTTCCGGTGCCGTTGCACCCATCGCTTAAAGAGCGCTACGTCACCTGTAGCGCTTTTGCCAGGGGCGAGCACTACAAGTATTGTCCGCATTGCGGGTACACGAGATTCACCTCGTTGAGCACTCAGACGAGTGCGATAAGTTTTCAGCTGAAATTCTTGTGGAACCAAGAAACGAACTCGAAGAGCTTTCCGTTTGGCAAGCTCATCTTCCGTAATGGCCGAGGGTCCGATAGTGTGGAGGCGTAACGTTCAAGCTACCGCGTTCTTCGCTTCCACAGCGGGATCCGTCGGGCGGAAGCCATATTCCACACGAGGGTCAATGACCGGCCGTGGATGGGTGCGCATCAGAGCCGCCTTTTGGGCAGCTTCCAGCTGCCGCCTCTGTGCCCCGTCGAGGGCATACAAGTAGCTTTATTTGATTTTTTGTAAGTTATTACAGTCATTATATAAGTGCACAATGATACAAAATTGGATTATCTCATAAATACGTCATTACATAATGTAGAAAATAAATCTCTAGAATTCTAGATGGGCAAACTTTGTATATATTTGAGTATGTATTGCACTAAATGTAAAACGTTTTACTAGGTAAGTTTCATCCATGGTTAGCCGTCTTCAGCAAAAACTTCGATGTTTTTGAAACGATCAGAGTTTTAAGAACATGACGCTTTTTTGGAGGTTACCATAGCAATATGCAACGTCTAACACAAAGTATAACGCATCCTGACTTTTAGGGTGACTGGAAATATGTCGAACACGAGATCACAGAGAATTCTGGAAATGAAATGTCTCGCTCTTGTCTAATAGTTGATACTGCCTATAAAGACGTAAATATATAAACAAACACCTACTAAATTTGCTAGCGATATATAATACTTCAATCCCAGAAAAACATTACACTGAATACATGGCGACCAACGATTCGCAGAAGCTTGAAGAGCTCCAGGAGCAGATTTCCAAAGGCACACAGGAAACCAAGACGTACCTTGACTTGGTAAGATTACCCGTGTATTTTTATGCTTAGGCGCCTTTGTCTCATCGTCTATGTATTTTTTTGCAGCTAAAGACAAAACTAGCTGAATTTGACGCACAGTACAGCGTCTCCGAGACAGCCAGTTCGTACCTTCAAGCGGCAATTGAAAAAACACACCAGTCGGTGGATGAGCTGAAGGAGCTGGGCGAGTCCTTAAAAGAAAAGTCGAAGAGTACATCGGCGCCCGTCGTGGACGTTGCCAAGGCCTCATTTTGCAAGGTACAGGAGGCGCTTGACGGGCTTAAAGAGCGTGGCCGTAGCTATGATGATAAGTTTCGTGCAAGCATTTCAAATTCTGTAGACTCGGTCAAAGATGGTGTCTCGTCAGCCACGACATCTGCATCCACGTCCATTGAACACATTGTCGTTGCAACGCGCGAGCGTACCAGCTCGAGTTTTGAGCAGCTAAAAGAGACGCTATTTAATGCTGGATATGGAGCCTACGTCATTGCAGGTAGCGTCGTAGGTAAGGCTGAAGAGCTGGACGGTCGTTACGGCGTCGTAAACACCGTTTCCGAAGTTGTGGGCGCTGTGACTGAGAAAGTCTCGGACTTAGATCGCGTATTGGGTGTGTCGGCTGCTGCTTTGAAAGTGGACGAAAAGGTGACGGGTGGCATCGGCGCGGACCTTGTGAATAAAGGTGCTGTCTTTGTCAACAGCTCGCTTGAGTATGTGACTGGAGCGTTGCAACAGGCTAAGATGGCTGCTAATGAAGAGTCGAAGGAAAAGGAACATAAGACGATTGTGGAGACCACAGAGGTCACGAAATCGACTTAAACAAATGTTTCGGAAGAAAAATTTAGAAAGAATCATCACTTTCACCTTGCCGCTAAAACAAAAAATGTATTAATTCTCTTGAAACGTTTTGCTCATTGAGTAGACAATGTTTGGTTGCCATTTGTATATTTAGAGCAGCACGCCTGTTGACTCCATCGGCTTATTACTTGAAACGCAGAAAGTAGACTTTGCGTCAAAACTTCGCCAGTTGGCCTTGCGCATGTCCCAACCGGTTGATAGTATAGATTTGTTTGGCAAAAAGCTTGTGTTGTGTCGAACTAGCCTTCGATGCGAGGCATGATATATTCGGGTCGAAAATGGAAGCAGCCTGTGGTACGAGATTTACTTCGGCGGTTTTCCAAACGGATGCGAAGAGCTATAAAGCGAAGAATGAAGGGAGAAAGCAGACGGCAATGGATCGAGAGAAATTTACACGATTCGGAGGTCGGCATCATGCTGGATTTAGTTCAATGTTTATTGAGGTATGTAGTGTTGACAAAAAAATATGTGTAGTATGCTAAGTTGGATGTCATGTAGCATGATAATGGTCATTTCAATGATAGGGCTGAACTGGAACTATCCAGCTACAGACTTTGCTAACAAATATCTTGCAATCGACACAATAAATCTACTGGCTACCATTACGAATCTTGGATTAAGGCAAGTTTTTATCCTTTGATATGTCTGAAGTGATTTTACGTCTTACTTGTTCATCGATGACAGATTTTATTCAGCAAGCAATCGCAAAAGCTTCTTATTGCATTGGCTATCAATTATAGAGATGATTTGCGTGATTCCTCTGTTGGTCGAGTTCACAACTGGTACAACCGATTCAATGTCAAGTGGCTATACATTTCGTTTACTCATGATGCTGCGTATAATGAGAGTATTACAATTCTATCGTCTTTTACGACTTGCAAAGAGTGCAAAACTTCGACAAGGTCTGCTTATCTGTTTAACTACTTTGTGTATTATCCTGTGCGCGGCAATCTTTATGCAGGTAGCGAATGTGTATTGATTTTCTTAAGCTAGTCCAATGACTAATATGAGGATTTTGTCAGACAATTGAGTATTGTGATGGAGAGACTCAAATCGCGGGCGAGGACTGTCAAAATATGACATTCCTTGACGCAATTTATTTTGTTTGTATCACGATAGCCACAGTTGGGTACGAAGAGTGATCTTGGATTAACATATGCCCAACGTCTTTGTAACTTCAAATATTTTAGATTTGGGGATGTGGCACCAAAAACAAATCTAGGCAAGGCTTTTGATGTGGGGCTAATCTTTTTCGCGGGTGCTTTGATTCCAATCCAAATAAGTGGTTATTCAGACATACTCAGTCGAGAGGTAAGTCATTTTACTGATCATACGACTACCTTCTGTTATCACTGATGTATTTTTGCGGCAGACAGCATTTGATAAAATGTATGAACCTGACAAGAGTACACAGCACGTGTTGCTATGCGGTGAGGTGGAAAACGGAGCTTTGCTTTTCTTCTTGCACAATTGGCTACACAAAGATGAAGAGCGTCGAACACGTCGTAAAGTTGTAATTCTGGCGCCGAATTTACCATCTAATAATCTGCGACGAGTCCTGCTGCATCCGGAATACGAGCAGCGAGTTATTTATCTTCAAGGTTCGGCTATGGTTGCAGCTGACCTTCTGCGCGCCGCAGCTCCAACAGCTGAGTTTTGTTTTGTCGTGGTGAAAAAGCACAGTGAAACACTTGATCAAAATGATACGGCTGCTAATCTCATTACGTGCTCAGTGCGCAAAAACAACAAGCATGGTACGTCATAGCATTTTGAACGCGACGGGATTTGCGTTTTGAAAAATTTGTCACTTGATCGTTATCAAAAAATAACAGTGTTTCGTTTTTTGGTGAGCAGCACCTTTGCATGTTCAAGTCTCTAAGTTTGATAATACCCGACATTTTCACATTTCTGGAGCTACTGCAGTAATCTGCTTGGAGCAGCTAAAGCTCGCGTTTTTTGGCAAATGCCTCTGGATTCGAGGGTTGAATCCTTTTCTTGGAAATCTCATTCAAAAGTATTCTCATACAGAAGAGTGCAGGTATGATTATCGCTTGAACCTTTTTGTGATATTGAACTCATTCGGCATATGTGCGTGATATTGAAGAGGTTATTGGCTTTCTGACTATCTTTTGGGTTGTGAGCAAAGGTTGTGTGAAGGCTTTCTCCCTCCATTTCTTCTGACAATGGCTTCATATCGCGCTTTAGCCTTGCTCTTTTATCGCGAATTTGGTGTTGCAGTGGTTGGCGTGCGAACCATCGAAGACACGACTGCTGTGTATCCAGTGGACGAGCAGCTATTAGGCACGAATTTTCGAAGTGTTTTTTACATCGGCAGAGGAAATGACGTCGCTTCGAAAATCGAGAAATTGACCCCGGCCGTATTTGCTCGACATCCAGATATTGCCCCAGCATCCATGGGTATGAATGGCAATCGCAATCCTCGATCAGTCACTACAATACTCTCAAGCGCAATCGAAAACAAAATGGCATTTGGACGTCGATTATCGATTGGATTTGGCCGTGATCATCGACCCAGCACATCTCTCGATAAGGCTTTAGTACGGACAAATACAAGTCGACCTTCGGCTAAAAAGTTTTCTGTGAATATCTTTACCAGTCGAGCTCTTGACAAGATTTCACCGGTTGACAGAGATGAATCAAATGAGCCAGTCGATGTCAATGAGAATGATTCAGTGCTACCTTCCTCTGAGGAAAATCACATTGAAACTCAACATTTCTCTTCTATCCAGAAAGATCCAACAAACCCAATACTTGACGAAAAACACCTGTCGGACACAACCGACTTACCGGATCAAATTATGCCGAA